AAGGCATCAACAGGAGTAAAAACTGAACATTGCGGTGCATGACATAAAACGTGCAACTTGACACTTGTAATCGCTTTCCAGGGTACTAATTTACCATCTTGGGTGACGTCAGGTACGCCCGCAAAACCGACTTTTATAGCGTAATTGTAATGGAGTAATGAGGGGGGAGGGGGGACATTATCACAATTGATGTCTGTAAATCTATAATGCACAAGAGATGGTGGTTGAATTGTATCAGTCAGGAATAAGGTTGTCGGCTTCGTCTTATGTCATCAAAGCGGGATCTTACGCGATCAAAATATTGTTCGGTTTGCGTTAAGATTTCTGTTAAGGGTTTTATCGAAATCGAGATGTTTATGAACCCATATTGCACAAGATTGCGCTGATAAATAAGGGTCTTCCAAAGAAAGAACGAATATTCCGTTTACTGCGTCTTCGAAGTCATTACGTGTGCGTTACGGGGGTTTGAGGCAACTTTATGTGGCACCGCTCTCGTGTCTTCAATGAGAATGTTTTATTACCTACTAATACTATTCGCCTGATTGAGGTGCGTGTTTCGCGCGTGTTCAGTGCATGCGCGCGAGCGTGTGTGTTTGTGTGTGTGCGTTCTGTGCGTGTGTGTGAGAGAGAGAGAGAGAGAGAGAGAGAGAGAAGGCGGATAAAATAAAAGAAGTAAAACAGAGAAGAATAAGAAAAAGAGAGATTGAAAGAGAGACATTTGTCTAGAAACCCCTAATATATAACATGACGATGTCCTCACACAACTTATTAAAGATTTCCGGTCTTCCCCGTAATAGCGTCCTCATCCAACTCTTAATACACCTCATGTAGCATAAAACCCCTCACTCCTTATGATTTACTGGTCCATATCTGCTATTATGACTTTATTGAAGAAGTTATCTTTAGATTTTAGCATTCAGAGGCTTAATGTGAAGGGGCCACTTCAGTACTATTACATTGTGTGTCTTTTGAAAAATGATAAGGAGAAAAGGTTCACGAGTCGCCGGAGTTTACCTTACGCCATAAAGCATACTGGTTGTAAAGGTTTTGTGAACTTACCACCGTGTGTGTGTGTTTGTATGTGAGAGAGAGAGAGAGAGAGAGAGAGAGAGAGAGATTAAAAAGGTTAACCGCACCTCAGCCCATACAACATACAGATTGTAAAGGTTTTGTTAATTAACTTCTGTGTATGTGGGTGCGTGTATGAGAGAGAGAGAGAGAGAGAGAGAGAGAGAGAAAGAGAGGGGCAGATGAAAATAAGAATAGAGAGACTTTCTTTTTCTATAGTCTTTATCCCAAGTACAGGAATATAACCCATGTCTTCCTCACGTCTAAAAATCCTAAGAACGTTTTCATGCATGCATCAATGCACTCACATATCTATGCACTTCATATTTCAGAATCATATCAGGCGAAAAATTCTCAGAAGATAAAAAATGACACAACATAAAGTAACTCCAAGACCAAGCAGCAGAGTAAGTGATCTTTTTTATCTTGACAGATTAGAAATAGTTCGATATACTGTAAGAGTACACAGTTATAATTGCGGAAACATTATCTCATCAATGGAAAGTGAACGGGAGAGAAAACAAAGAGATTTATACATTTCACACCCCTCCCCCCTCTAGATCTTACGCTTATTATTTTTTACCGCATAATCGTATCTAATGAACCCTAGCGAATTAATTATTTTACTTTCTGCCAAGACTTCCAGTGTCAGATGCGACACAGGCATTGTACGAGTAAATCCAAAAATGGACAACTTCGATGTGTGAAGGCACACAAATAGCTTCAAGAAAGTCTTCATCAAACTGAGGGACAACTACCCCCTCCCCAATTGTCAAATCTCAGATCCCAACATACGCGTATATGTTGCTACTTGGTATAAGCAAATCTTTCAAAAAAAAAAATAATAATAATAAATAATAAATAAAGTCAATCAATTGTATCGATTATTATCCCTGATCATCGTCCACAGAGATCACCTTTCTTCTCGTTGGACTAGAGGGTCGCCAAGGCGGTCGAGGGTAGTTTTACAGTAGCATGCCCGTCCGTCACGACTGCGGCGATAAGGCTGTTTATTATACCGTCCCGTTATCTCGCAACTGGGCGTGAAACTGTACCTATATTTGTCGTCATCTCCAAGAAGCTTTCCATCCCTGGTGCTTCTTCCTATTATTACTCCTGTTGTATTTGAACAGGGGCAAGACGGGAGCGGTGCATCACGGCGTTGCTGAGGGGCTGGGCTCCTTGGGGTGGCTTCCTTAGGAAGAATGCAGTGGTTTATCTAGGGTATGGCAGGTCCACGGCACCTTGCCCGGTGCAGGGGAGGGGGGGTTGAATTACGAAGTTTTAAGGCGTCGCAAAAAGGTGAAGGCAAAGAAATGAAATCATCTCTTTGGTGAAAGTTAGGAAGATGCACTAAATAGCTTCACTGTTTTTTAATTGAAAGATTACGTATATGGAATGTATTTTTGACCTGCAAAATGGCAAAGTTATGGTGAAAAGATCGTCGCAAATTTTAATGCTTGGAGCAGGCGGTATTATCCATGCATAGTAACAAGGGAAGACTTAAGGAAGGAAGTAAATAAATAAATATATACTACCTTGACCAAAGACAGTCTTTACTTATAAACCGAGATTTTGGCTATCCTAAATATACAGGTCGGAAAAACTCGCTGTATAATAGTATAGTAATTTCTTATGTAACACATAAACAATTTCTTTCTTTTAATTTTAAAGACGCAATGTATCATATAACACCCACGGATTGTGAGATGCCACCCAAGTGATCTCGATTGTGTCAAAACCTTTCTCTCCTCGTCTCCATCACTCTTCATCAGTCTACTGATAAACGTCGCAAATTAAAATCCTAAAATCACGCCTCGTGGTCGCGAGTGTTTGGTTATTAATTGATGATAGAATTCACATTGGAATGATAAAGGGACCACGATTGCAGTTTATCTCTTTCGGTTATGTGAGTTCGACCTTATCTTAAGTCGATATTAAAGTCGTGACTGGGGAAACCCACGTCCTCAACGTGAATACAAATATATACGTAATTTTAAGTCTCTATTTACGTGTATTTCGTTACAATTACACCAGGCGAATCGTGAAAAATTCACTTACCTGAACTCGTTGTAAAGTAACCTATAAAATTAGATTAAGATATACACGTAGTTAATAATAAACAAAAATATACTGAAATTATATAAATACCATACCTGGTTTTCGAATTCATATCTGGTATTTTATGTCAATTTAATACGTAGATTCATTCCACGTCAAATTTATGGACACAAATACTCGTCAAAATAAAGAAATACTCAACTATATTCACTAACAAGGCGCAGCATTATCTTCCATACAAATTAAACAACTTTGAATCCGTTCCATTAATCGCCATTATAGACCTATTTACGGCCATTCCACACGTAAACCTATTACATGGTAGATGTGAAATTTGTTGGGGATCGGGGGGGGGGCGAAAACTTGAGGTGTCGATACAAAGTATTCTACTCTGATACTGTAACGGCTTTAACAGGTATTTGCGAAGCGTGCTCAGATACAAGACCGGCTTAAAACTATTAATCACATCACAAAGCCCGCAATCCAGAAGCACTACTTAAGTGATTAAGATATAATTAAGACACTTATGCTTACGGAATACAGTCAATAAAGACCACAGTAATGAACTGGGCTTGTTAATTGACCAAAAACAGTTGCAATTAAGACGGCGCATTTAGGTCAGGAAGAATAACAGCGTCCCATTCTTAGTTGATGTTTGCATGGGCAATATTGTCGCTTAAACCAAGTGTTGTTGGTATACAGTAATGTATCAAATTTTGAACTTCAACAAAAGAATGATACAAAGAAAGTCAGTAAGGCGTCCTGCTGTTAGACCCCCTCTTACTACACAATGTATTCCATACAGTCCATATGCTGCTGGTACACACAAGTTCAAAATATTCGTCAAAAAAATTAAAACAAGAAGGACATCGGGTCATCAGTGCTTTTCCCTAATCTAGAATTATTATATTATTTACTGCCTCATCTACTTTCTACCCAGGGGTTCCTGAAATAGTATACAAACAGTCCCGTAGCTAGCAATTTCAAAGGGGGGGGGGGGTACTTTTCCGAAAAAGTAGACCTTTTTACGATGAAACCTTTGCGTACCTAGATCAAGTTTTGCCCAGAATGGACCTTTTCCTGGCAAAAAGGGCGGTTCTTTCGAACCCCTCGAACCCCCATGGCTACGGGCCTGACAGAATTACAGTGAGATCCATTCAAAATTTCCGTAGCACACCACTAGCGCACCCTGTAGTCAGAGAGTGCACATGCATGCTTCAGCCACGTTGTCGACGCACGTATGAGCTAAGAAGTTTCAACAAAAACTATTAGAAAGTCATTAAACCTTCTCGCTCATTAGGGCCTTGTCCTCCTCGAAAATCCCGCGCCAATCTTTAAGTGAAAGAGAACGCTTAGAATTCAAGCCACCAGGGGTGGGCTTCTCATCGGAGGGTCCTACCGACCAGTCAAACACAGGGGCGGATTTAGGCCGTCTTCTGGGTCTTCCAGAAGACGGTCAGATTTTCAAGTTTACATTGACGGGTATCCAATTTTTAATGTTGGAAGACGGTCAAAATTGGAGGATGAATCAACAAAGATAATTTGGAAGACTGTCAGTATATAGCTCTGGATCCGCCCCTGAAACAAAACATTTTACCTCAAAAACAAAACCAATATTAAGGGGGGGGGTTGCGGCTTCGCGTTGCAAGTTTGCTTACACAACAAACAGACCACAGGTAGCGAACCAACGACCAGTGCCCTACTCGAGAGTCCATTATTTCCAAGCGGCCCGTGCGCTGTCATCGAGCGCGTTTTGTGATTGGTCGATGACAGCGGCGAGGAGCTGAGGCGTCGCACGTGCGTGTGTTGACAGGACAACCGGTGGTATATAAGTGACGCGTGGCAGCAGAATCCGCAGAACGTGCCGCACTTGTCTCCCTTTACTCATCAAACGCTGCCAGCTTTCAGAGAACAAACAGCCAATCAGAATGGACGACATGTGGGACAGTTTCTGTGACAATTTAGACTTGGACGCCGACGTGCTGGCCGATTTCGCTCAAACGGCGTGCGCGTCGGTGGAAGGGAGCTTTTATACTTGTAATGCTTCCGATGCTTCGTCTCCAGAGCCTTTCTCTCCACATTCCGTCTTTGATTCAGATGACGGATCCGAGTCATCGTCTGCCGATTCTACGTCTGCGGGCTCCACGCGCTCCAGAGTTGACAATAACAAAAACACCAGGCGGAAAGAAAAATGTCCCCTGAAGAAGAAACACCAAAGACAAGCCGCAAATGTCAGAGAAAGGCGGAGAATGAAGTCCATAAACGAGGCGTTCGATGGCCTAAGACGCTGCGTCCCAGATGCGGAGAATTGCAAGGAGAAGAAACTTAGCAAAGTAGACACTTTAAAAATGGCCATTCAATACATAAGTGACTTGACGCGGGCTTTGAGAGAGGTGGAAGCGGAGGAGAGATTACACGGCGGGGACGCTACAGAGACACAAAAAGTGATCATACGATATCCGAATGCAGGTATGTACCTATATATATAAACAGATCCTATACAAGCCTATCACAGGTGATAATGAAATCTAGTTTTCAAATAAGTTTACAAGTTTGACGCGGTGCTGCAGTTTCTGTTATAATTTTGTTACTGTACAGTGAAATCATGTTTTGTTATGACTCAAGAGCTACGCGGAAGTAAAAGATGCGTGACTTTAAAAAGAAAGGGAGCATTTACCATTAGGGGTCGTATTTAAATAATAACACACTCAGATGTAAACTAAATTAATAAGAATAGTGCATTTTCAAACTTTGAAATCCAAACCACTCAGAGTTAATAGAAATACAATAGCGTCTCATCTACTTAATTAGCCAACGAAGCCTTATTAGTCTCTTCGATCACTGATAATTATTGATTAATTATGAGGTTCTTCGGATGAGGCATAGCGTATATCCGATATAAGTGGGTTAAACTCGACGAAAAGCAGTACACAAGCAGGACAGCTGCAGCTAGCCGCGGTTTCTGTGTAAATATGCTTTTTACCGAGCGTTGTTTGCAAAACGTTCGGCGTATTCAAATAACGGGGAGGCGGAGTAGAGTCGTCGTTGAAAGAGTAGAAAAGACAAGTGTACTACACAGCGTCTCCGACTTTAAGAGCAAATTTGCTCACCACCGACGAGCAGCTAGCTCTAGACCAAGGGTCACGTAAAAGGGTGCCCTCAGACCAAGGTGACTATAGAACTTTCACGAAACATGAAACTCGAGTAGTTACCGCAACTGGAGAATATTTCAAAATTCCAATTAAATCAACAAGCATCGCGCTTGGCGATCGATATAGCAAATAGTAGTAGTACGCGTAGTATCGCTTTGCTTTGATGACACTGATCTGTCAAAATTGTTTATGGATTTATTGACACGGTATTGGCTTTCTTTTTATTGTGTGCTGGAATTTTCCGGAGGTTTCTTTTCAAATATTCGACAAAGCCCGCCGTCAATGGACAAAGCTTCTTTCAGAGTATTTTCGCTAATCTCCTCGTATATCGACCCTGGGGTCCATTCCACGAAGCCCGGAGTTGTGCTAGAGCTCGATTGCTCATTTATCGGAAGGTCCCGTTCGCACTTTTATCTAGTAGAATCATTCTGTATCGGTGTAACTGGCGTGCGCAGAGCTGGTTCATTACCCTCCCCCCCCCCCCCCCCCCCCCCAAAAAAAAAAAAAAAAAAGATATTGAATTCATCGAACACTAAGACCATTACATGAGCCTGGCACTTTTTACCCTCTGATATCAGGGGCCTCTAAAATAGTATA